CATTAAAAACCTTCCACAAGAAGGCGTGCGTGACTGGCCTCAAGTATTGTCCCTTGGGCTCTGCGGTCACGCTCCCAGGTCGTAAGACCAACACTAATCCGACTTCTTTTTCAGGTTCCTCAAGAAATACCCTCCACGGTGTGGGCAGCCGGGAAGTGATATCAGCCCTCATACCCGTAACAGCGCACGAGACCAAGTTGGTCACATTCAAATCCTTCCTACACCTCCCAATACCTCTCTTATCTCCCCGACTAACCCTTCTCACGTTTCTTTATCACCTCGCACCGCTAGGGCAAACGATTCGAGTACGCGGAACGCTATTCCTGGTCTCCTGAAACCACGCTCTAAACTACACGTAGAAGCTTTTAACGTCCGAACACTGTGCCAAATAGGACAGCAGGCTTCCTTAGCTAACACTTTAGAATCCCGCGCCATCGATGTGTGCTGCGTCTCCGAAACGCGCATACAGGATCCGAGTAGCGTCATTCATTTGACCTCACCATGTCAAAGTAACGAACCAACTCGTTTCATGCTTCATGTATCGGAAAAAGATGGAAATATTATTCATTCTCAATCCAGGAGACTGGATCGATGGGCAGAACACTTTATGGATCAGTTCAATTGGCCTTCAGCCACACTTCGGTTTCCCACGATCTCCAGCCGACCTGATTGGTAAGTTAATATAAGTCCTTCGACTCTTTATGAAGTTGAAAAAGCTATAGGAAATCTGAAGCGTGGGAGAGCAGCAGGCCCTGACAGGTTTACTCCTGAGATTTTGAAGGATGATGGTCGAGTATTAGCAATGAGATTGACTGAGGTTTTAGGTAGAATTTGGGAACTGGACGTAATCCCATCTGATTGTGACAGTTTTTAAGAAAGGACAAAAGTCCTCTTGTGACAATCATAGAGGAATCAGTTTGACTAATATGGTGTCTAAAATATTAGCTTCAATAATACTTCGACGCCTAACCCAAGCTCGTGAAGAGCAGACTAGGGAAAATCAGGCTGGTTTTCGACCTGGACGTGGTTGTATATATCAGATATTCACACTACGTCAGGTTCTAGAACACAGACACACGTTGAGACGCCCCACAATGGTGGTATTTCTCGACTTTAAGACGGCATTCGACTCTGTTCATCGTAAGGTTCTATGGCAGTGTTTGTCACTGAAAGGAGTACCAAAGAAGTACATTAACCTTATACAGGATCTCTACTCGAACACAACTGGTCGAGTGAGAGCTTATGGCGAACTGTCATCAGAATTGATTACATCAAGTGGTGTTCGTCAGGGCTGTCCACTCTCTCCATTCTTGTTCAACTTTGTCATTGACGTACTTTTAGAGATATCACTTTCCTCATCTAAATTTACAGGGGTTGAACTTCTACCGGGAGGTTCACTTGTTGACTTAGAATATGCCTATGACAGTTTTATTTGGCGAAGACGCTGACAAAATGCAGAGTCTTCTGACCACTCTAAGCAACAATGCAAGCATGTTCGGAATGCGATTCTCCCCCTCGAAATGCAAAATGTTGCTTCAGGATTGGGTTGCATCGACACCCGAACTAATGATAGGGAGTGTCGTATTTGAGGATCTTGCTTTTTCCTATGTGTATGTTGAGGCCTACAGTTGCAGAGCTCTAAAATAAGGTAGATAAATTTCTAGAAAAAAGTGTATTTCGCCATTCTTATAAACCTTATCTTTAGTATTTGTTTAAAGTTTATGGATATATTTTTCGGTTTGGGCACCCGGGCAGCAACATAGCTCTCACACCTATCAAATGATATTTGTGTGGCGCATATGTATTTGGTGCCTCCATGTACCAATATCTGTGTTAAAATAAATAATCCATTTTAAAGAGCAAATAGTATTCCGGACTCTCAGATTTAACAGGTATACTCCCATGAATCCTAGAACATATACGTATTTTCCTAATCTAACGTTCATTTGTTTCTTTTCTACATTCAGCTAACAGCTATGTCGGATGCACGTAGACGAGCTACTAACCGTCAAGCAGCCGAACGATGTCGCCGTTCTAAGGTTGCTGCTCGTGATGAATTAGCAGAACGTCTGGCTGACCTTCGCTTACAAAGGCAGGCACTGAATAAGCGTCTGGTCAAAGCTCGTCAACGTAAACGTGATACAAGGTAATGTAGGCGTACATGATAAGTGCTTGGTTAAAAAATGTAGTTTCTCTGCAATCATTTCATTAAACTAGGTCATAAACGCAAAACTGAACTCAGTTTTTTTACTAAGTTTAATTTCTCTTAAATTATGTTGCTCAAGTTTCCAGGAATGTGGTAGGAATGCCGAAAATTACATTTCACGTTGTCCTTTTAAAGAAATCTCATACTTCATAAGAAAGGAAGTGTACCTTAAACATGTTATCTCTATGTCAGTTATTATGTAGCTGCTAAGTATGTCAAATAAAAACATTAATTGGACTACAATAGAGTACGTAACACATTCTGTGTTTATTCCAATCCGGTTATATTTTACAGCAATCTTGTGAAAAAAAAGAATTCAGAGTGAAAAGGTAGGCCAGCATAAATCAAGAAAATGCCGTTTAAGTTTCTGAATGCGATCCGTACATCACGTAAACCCAGCAGCAAAAATAAAAATGTAGTGCTCAAAAGGTTGGAAATTATAAGGAAAAATTAAGATTGTTCACTGCAAGATGATAGTAGTAGACTTATCAACTGGTCAATTATTTTCATGTACTTAGCACCTCAAATAAACCCTATTCCTAAATCCCAACCCTAAGAATTAACTATTTAATCCGGTAAAGTCTGTTTACACTTTGTGATGTCATTTTGCTCTGTTCTAGACTATATTGATGGATAACAACTGGCTTAAAAATCTCAATTGTTTTAAGCTCGCCCTTTGATTTCTTATAGCAGTGTTGAAAAGGCCTTGTAAAGCTTGAAAAGGGGGAAGCAGGAGGTCCCAATGAGTTAATCCCGGAGATCATTAGGTATAGTAGTTCAACTTCAGAAGTTGGCTGTGATTTCAGCCAGAGCCTGGGAACTGGACGTAATCCTATCTAAATGGTCTCGATCGCTAATCATTGTTCATTGTATAAGGAAGTACAAATCTTCTTGTGATAATCATAGAGGAATCAGTTTGATTAATATAGTGTCTAGAATATTGGCCTTAATAATCTGACGGTTAACTAGGACTCACCTAGAAAACTAGAACTGATCCAGGCTTCATAGGTGGTTTCCGTACGGAAACTGCAACTATTGTTAAAGAAGTTAGGTGACACTGCTTAGAATCGTTTACAATACTGCAAATTCATTCGGACTTTATCTTATTCTGCTCAGTTCTTCATGTCCTATATTTCTTGAGTTATGCCTTTTTGAATCGTAGTTTCAGTTTTTGGCTTTTCTTTGATCCTTCATTTACTCGGTTCGTTTGTTATTCACTGACTCATGTTAATGCGCCATGGTAATATGAGGTAATCCATGTTTGTGCCAAGCTTTACAGTAATTATTACTAACTCGTGATATTCCGAATACTCGACCAAAACATCACAACCACTTGTAATGAAGAAGTCATACTTCCTGCGTTTGTAAATTACTTATACGAGGTTGATACTGAAACGCAAAGCTGCGGTACGCCTCTGTTCGCACAGTATGTTGAAATACGTAGAAATTAATTATCGATCTTTTAAAGAAAAATAGGGAGCATTAGACTTGGTACGTTGTCATTTTAACGTTTAGATTCAAGCTAACTGGTTGTTTGTTATCTACATATTCATTACCAATTACATTATTTAAGTAATAAACAATTTAGTTTCCGTCAAAGAAAAACATGAAGAGTCATCTAAGAAATCCTATTGCAACCCCAATTATTTCCCAGTGGTTTGAATATATAAATAAATCATTGTGTATATGTGTTGACAATGTCGGACAATTTTTTATTTCGTTAGGCCTGATTTAACTAAAGCAGCATATCTTATAAAGCCAATGTTCTAATGAAATAATGATGTCAATTCTTCGTATTTGGATGAAGTAGTTTCATAACACCTGAAATAGAAATCACAGTTAAATCTATCACATGTTGATTTTAATACGGAAGCAGGTTTTTGTCTCACTTCCACTAAACCACTTTATTCTTTTTGTGACTTTGTTATTTAATGTTTATAATGCTTAAATGTTCATTCCATTTAGCTTCTCAGAATGTTCTGTTAGAGTCGGATATTTTATACACTCAAAAATATTTCTATGCACTATGTAGATTAGTAGTACCGCTTTATTTCAGTAAAACTTAGTATTTACGTAAGTGTAAACTTTTAACTTGAGAACGAAAAGCATATTCATGTACAGTATACCGCATTTCTTAAGGTTAGTATTTTAAAAACAGTTTTCTGGATTAGCTTTAAAGACTTTTGGATTGGGTCAATATTTTTTCCCCGTTAGCTTTTTATTTTAAAGATGAACATACAAAACCGTTTCGCAGTGAATATAGACAGTTATTCGATTTTGTTTCTTAATTTTCAGAGATAATCTTACTGAAGAACAAAACCGTCTGTTGCATATGTTGCATGACTCTAATGGTTGCACATTAAAACCTTCCGATTGGCGCATTCATCTAACTACAGAAGATGAAATTGTGGTTGTATCAGTTGGACATTAACTTAATAAACTTTACTTTTCAACTCTCTAAACAGTCTTTCACCTAACTATCGTTATGTTTGCACACTTACTGTAAATACATTTTCCTCAAACTACGCATTTTATTAAAATTTCACTCAAAATCTTGCAAATACTTGTAGAACTTAGTTCATTTTAAAACTTCTCAGAATTCGCTTTTGAAGTGTATGAAATTTCGTAATGTTTTCGACCCACGTAGAATTTACTTCATATAACCTAGTTATTGATTTTATTTCCGCTATGCACATACTCATATTTAATAAGCAATTAATAACTTATCATGCTACATGGCATCCAAATTATCGTAAACTTTATTCCCACAGTCTAGCATTTCGTAATAATATTTATTGTAATATCTAGACCACCCTGAATAACCTTAGTCATCATCGCCCCGAAAATGTGCTACAAGAGTAATGTTAACTGGATACGGAGTGTAAATTGTCTTCTGCCCCAACCATAAATGAAGTAATCAAAGACTTTTAAATCAAACTATATTATGGAGTTTAAGAACTTACATACTAGCGCTTGTAAGTCCATTTGTATACTGTGATGAGGGCATAGTTCCTCTAGGTACTTGACTGTACAACGGCTGTTCATATTGACCTATCCCATAGTATGCAGTATTGATACGTTTATCTAATTGATATCGAGGCGGATTCATGGGCGAACTATAAAATCTTGGATCTGGTGGTACTGGACTAGGATACAAATATTGGTTTTGTCTCACATCACCGGAATAAAGTGATTGACCTGCACTTTCAACTACTGCGACATCTTGCGGACTCCCGAGAATACCGCCATTACTCCCGATAACTCCATCATCCGGGCCACCAACAATAGAAGAGTCTGAGTACTGTGTGTTCTGAGCAATTGTCCTAGGCGTGATTTCCATTTCGTCATCAGAAACAGTGTTTGTTACAGTTGGTTGGATTTGTTGGTCACTAGGATACGTGATAGTTGTGTGACTTTGTACAGGTTGTTGTTCAACTAAATATGTTGGTTGTTTGGGATCAGGATTCATGGTTGGTTGCACAAATAATGGATAAGACGGTACATCAGACTGAAAAGTAGAGTAACGGTTGACGTAGTTTGTTTTAGGACCCGGGAGATTCGTTTGCTGATCCTGCCGTGCCATCGCATATGGTTCCGAGACTGGATAGGATACGAGATACGTATTGTCTCTCCATGAATTTGAATTGAATGTACGAGGATTGGATGCCACAGCTGTTTCACTAATCTGTATGGTGGAAATAATCATAACGACAAGTAGGGTTGGTTTTAAACTGATCATTGCTGCTAAGCTAAATGCACTGCCGGTAGTAATCATATTTATAAATGATGTTTGACCATGTTTTAAATGTATTTGAGTTGGGTTCAGCTTGAATACAACCAATCAAATCACAGATATGATTGAGTGAGCGTAACTCATTCATCAATTTCTAGTCTCATAAACAGACAGTACAAAAATTACTACCTTAAGTTAATATGCCTTTGCATGGGAAAATGAATTTCATAAATCTTTAATGTACAGAAGCACGATGATTACTTATCAGTTATTGATTACTAATCAGGAGTTTTCTTTATTTTACGTATACTGGATTGTCTAACTTAAGTGAAACTATCATGAGAAAGAAAACGATGGACAAAGTTGGTTATTTTGTTTCTAAGTTTTAATGATATAAATAGAACATACGAAATGAAAAATAATGAGTAAAATGACCCAATAAATTTAGGGATGAATGTGACAGAGAGCTTCTGAAAAGAGCGATCGATTTTGAAATAATGCGTTCGACGCTTTTACAAGCTTATGAAATAATTAAGATTCAGCTAATGAAGACTAGAAGGTATATATATATAAAGTGAGTGGTGAGACAAAATTGTCATATGATCCAACAGTACAACAAAAATAGCAATCACAGTTGTTAATGTAAATTAACCAAGAGGAGGAATTGTGTTCCTTTGAACAAGTGAATATTCATGATGTATATCTGATGGATATAGAGTGGTGACCAACAACACGAATTGTGTAAGACATCACAAACAAGAACTCCGTATGATGCTAGAAAATAATAACTCAAATATAAACATCTTGATAACGCAACAGAAAATACAATAAGAATTTCAAAATCCACAGTCAATACAAAAACAACGGTTACAGTGATGATTAGTCACAAGCATACAGAAACGTAAGTCCCTACAGCGTACATGTTATTACATCGGATATATATTAAGGAGGAAAACCAAAGAACGAAAATATAAACATAATGTTCACTCGTCCTCAATATGAAAGTAGAATATCGCTCACCATTGTTTTTAGCACATGGGTTAAAGTGAGATAGAACACAGTTACGAAATCTTGTAGGCCCCGAAATACTAAGTCAACAAAGTTACCTGAGAGCAATCAAGTAGGAAAATAAGGAAGAGTCAATTGCTGCAATAATAGTCTTCTTTAGAATGGCAAACCCCAACGTTTGTCCTTTTTCTCGTATTTGGCAGCGAGAATAGCAGCAGAACGACCAAAACCTTTAGCTTGATCAGCCATCTCTTGCGTTTGTAGGTCTAATTGCTGTAACCGCTCACCACGTTCGATAGCAGCATTTCTAGCTCGTGCAATTTCAGAAGAAGCAGCACCAGTTTGACCAGATAACTTTTCCAAACGAGCATTTGGTAGTAAAGTAGTAGCGCCAGGTGTCCCCTTCCCCGAACTTGCCTCACCAACTAAAGCAAGAACAAACTAGAGAATGAGAATTTCTGTGTATTTGTTACATGATATAAACCACCTAAATCCACTGGTGTTGATTTGTGACTACTGTGTTGAGCGTTATAATACCTCACTACAATGACTCAATGAAAATGAGAACTTTGGTTCGAAGACAATAGTCTAAGTAAAATGCAGCTTGACAAAGTGCGGCTGCATACAGAATTTGCATGGCTTATGTTTACCATGCTCCAACATATTAAAAAAGTCAAAATATATTTCAATAATTACCTAACAACGATGATTAAGAGAACAGTAATTTACAGCCAACAAACCTAGATAATGTTTAGTTGCTTATCTTTGTTGTGTGAACTCAGTGAACACTGAGTTTGAACATCTTTAATAAGTAACCGCTCAACCGCAGCTGCTACCTTAATTTGATGGCATACCTATTGCGATGACTCAACTAGACTATATTGCTTGGAATAAATATTCCTTTAGGCTCTACTATGCCAGGTTGGTTGGTTGGGGAGCTTACTTACTTATACTTGTTACCCCTCGTCAAGGAGCATAGGTCGCTCACCAGCATCCTCCATCTAACTCCGTCCTGGACAATCCTTCCCAGTTGCTATTGATCTTTCTCATGTCTGCTTCCGGTTCCCGACCTTCCTCTTTACTGGTTCCCTTCAAGACTCCGACTTGGCGCTTGCCTCGTGATGCAGTATGGTGATTTTCACTTCCAGTATCTGTTCCTAATTTCCTCAGCCGGAACCTAGTATATTCTCTCTCACAGTAGGCTGTTGCTGATGGTTTATGGCCGACTGATATTGAGTATCTTGCGTACACGACGGTTGGAGAACGGTAAGATTAGAAGCAGAAACTTAGAACCAGAGGGCGAAGTTGTATTGCTGACTGTAGTGGAGTGTAACAGTAGTAAGGGGTTTCACTCAGGCAACCAGCATCTTTAGCGATGCTCTCTTCTCGTAACGAAAGCAACAGGTTAGAAAGGGTCGACCCTAAAAATGTCACACCTTACCCCAAGGATTTCCGTCCTCGACAGTAAGGCCTTTGAAAGTGCGAATCCAACTCATCAAAAGCATCCCATAAAAGGCCGTGCGCTACCGCCCTCAAGCAGTTTTACTTTGTGCTTTGTGGTCACGCTTCCAGGTCGCTAAGACCACCAGAAATTCAGCTTTTTGGGGTCCATCACGAAGAAAAATCCATTCCATAGTATGGGCAACCAAGTAGTAACAACCGCCCTCCTATCGCTACAAACACCCGGGATTATCTTGTTGACGACTGAATCCCTCTTTCATCTCTTAATTGTTCTTCTATCCTCACAACTAATCCTTCGCGTGATTATCGTAACCAATGGTTAGAAATCTTAAATAACATAGCTCAGAATTATTTGCAACGGCGCAGGTGTATTTATTATTTGTCTTTCCTCAAATCCTGAGATTCTAAATTGCTTATAAATCTTTTTGTGTCTTATTCCACCAATTTATATTTTCATTTCGAGTCGTATCTTTGGTGCCTAATCTTTTCTATTACCACTCGGTGTTCGAAATTCTACCAAACATAAAGTTGTTGATTATTTCCAACTTGCAGACTTACTGTCAACTTAACTGAAACCACTTTCATCTCGAGCATAGCCACTATATCTACTATTCTAATCTGATTTACTCCAAAATATTTATATATGCAAAAATTAGTTCAAGCTCGATTTTGCACTTTCTATGGTTGGTAAAAGCTGTCACAAAATGAACAGTACTGATAAAAGCATTTTCTTTCTACCGAAGACAAATTGCTTGTCTAAATATTTCTTACGATAGTTATACGATTATATACTATTACTAGGCTTGCGCGCGATCTTTTTTAGTTAAATGACATATGATAAATGTCACTTTAAGTGTACAAATAAAAAATTTACTGAGCCAAAAAATATAACAAACGAAGGTAGTCTGAGTTGATTCATTAACTCTTTCAACTATTCAATCTGATATTCTTACCACGATCGAGATGGTTAACTCTTAGTTATAAAATCAAATTAAAGATGAGAAAATTGGCATACAGAAATCTTTAATTAGTCTTGACTACGTAAACATTTTATTACTACTGCTTAAACGTTGATGGAAGTGTTCCAAGAATGAGAAACTGACTGAAATGTCAGACAAAATTTAAAATGACCCATTTAGTTTTAAGTGATAGGCGAAACCCTTGTTTGATGCAAAAACTTGGGAAATGATAGTGTTACAACGGTGCGATCAATTGATAAAATTATTGGAGTGACTAAACCCTAACCGAGTTCACTTCAAAAAACTGAACTGCTAGAGAAAATTAAGGAATCAAAACTGCTTTCAACCCAGATAGTATGACTCATTTAACAATAAATGGCTAATGAAGAATGCAAAATGTAGTAAGGGAAGGGATAATTTACTAGTTTTCCCTATCATATCCCAATTGAGATAAACATATCATTCATTTCCCAACTTAAAACTTTTTCGTAGCATATATACATATAAATGCCGTTATCGTATCAAATGTAATCTACAGATAAACAAGGCTTCTATTTACCAATTTGGCACGCATAACCAAACTTGTCAACATTAATTTCGCAAAAGTTAGTCAGAATACGTTCGTTAAAAGCATTCAGTATATATATAAATTTGCTTCATCTCAATAAAGAAATCATCTTCATCTACAACTTGAATAATTTGAATACACTTTAAGGCTACTACAATGATTTATTTGAGTTAATTTATGATTTTAGGTTTTGCTAACTTCACTCTATATCCAGTGTAACTCAAAGTTTTTACTTAGTTTCACTGAACGAATCTGACATAAAATCTATTGTATGAGTTCGTAAATATGATACGAAACAAAATGATCACTCTAAATCTTAGTGACAAAAGACATTGAGATTGTCGATAAAGTCTCACTATGCCAAAAGATGTACTACTCATAAACTGAAAGTAGAATAACTCATTGTAAACAAAAGAAAGTTGACTGATTGTGGAAAACAATCTGAAATAAAAACAGGCTAAACAATTATCAGTGGTTTACGAAAAGAATAGTATGAACGGTATATGAAATAAAATTATGAGAACTAAGCAAAAGAACTGTGACAGGAAGTAGTAATATGGTTAAACTTACACAATTCATCTCGATCTAACGAAGATACCAAAGTTCCACTTAACAAATTTTTAAAAAAGTTTTTCTTAGGAGGTTCTGGCATATTACTTGGTAGAAATATCTCACCTTGCATATCACGTAAATTCGCACTGTAAGTAAAAAAAATAGAGCAAGATATGAAAAATATTTACGGTAAACTATTCTAAGGAAACATTTATGTAAGAATTTTTTTGGTATTTGGAATTATGTAGCCTTTAAAGTGAAACTAGTACGTTAATTTAATGTTTCACTTATCACTCGGGACCATAAACCAAGGACTTGAATGTAGCTAGGAATATATTCGATAATCAATATTGACAAAGGGAATATTTTGCTATTTACTCAAAACTGAAAGTCACCTCTATTGTGCAGCTTTAAAAAACCCAACCGTATTGTTAAATATTGAGTAATAATCAGTTGGAAAAACCCATTGAAATTAACAATTCATAGCCAAAAAGAATCCTACCTCTTGTTACCTGGTTTGTTCAGAGTCGTTTAATAATAACAATATATTTTGTGTTAAAAAAACCATCTTGTAATCATGATAATTATTAAAATCAATAGTCATAACATTCAGCTTTTTAAATATGTGTGGGTGTAAGGAGTGAACAGCCAATTAAAATTAAACTGTACTGACAACTAGTTTTTGAAAACGAACAATATGATCATAAGAATTTGACAATAGAATATGAAGTTTTTGGGTATCTGACTTGACAAGTCTACCCAATCAGTAACACTCAAACAATGTATTTATTCCAGGTAAATGGTTTCCAAATTAAAATGAGAATGTCAAAAGTGATAGTGTCTCTCAGCCAATAAGTGGATAAGGAAGTTTCGCATTAATGAGCCGAAAAACGTGGTTTCAGAGCAGTAGTTGACATTAAACTCCACCATTCTGAATGAACTGACGAATGATAAGATGCATCCTATGAAATCAGTAGTTTTTTACGGGTTAGAAATCTAAGTCAAACATTTAACTAATGGGGCTCAGCGACAAAAACCTAGACAAAAATTATAATCTTAATACACATCATGATATCAAAAATGAATAGTAAGGGCCGTTAGCTTTGCAGTTATATTGGGTTATAGAATATTATTACCTCATTATAAATCACCATAAACTGTTGAGCTAGTTAGGTTTTATGGAGTTTCCACTTATATTTATATATATTCAATTGCTGTGAAAATAAGCACAACTGAAGAGACTAAAAACATACATAAATTCACATGTCATAAAACATGACAAAAATATTCATAATGATGAGAAACATTAATTAATACAAAAAAAACAGGAATTACCAAACATCTGATGCCCAGGTGATTTTAGTTAATTCTGAGGGCGACACCAAATACACAGATTGACCATACTGACCAAATGCAAACGAACGGCTTACACATTCTGTATACGGTAAATAATCCACATCCATTAGTAAACGTAAACTCGGTAATGAGAAGGCAACAAAATGTCCATTTGCAAGATAACATGCGAGGAAACTAGCCGTTGATGCTCCGCTATTATGCGATGGTCTCAAACGTTGTACGGAAGCACGTACCACTTGACTTGTTTCAGTTATTTTTACCTGTATAAAAAAAGATTAAAATAGTATCCAAAAGAAATGAATTTAGTGGATCTAGTTTAAAACTAAACATGATGGGATTCTATCCTCAACAAATAAAAGTAGTTTTACCTTATAAAGACAATTTTGTGAAGGAAGTGCAACTACTCGAGCTTGCTTTTCTGAACAAAGGACAACCAGCTGTCGGTCACATTCGATAAAACCTTTGGATGTTGTAGGAGAATCAAGTCCAGTTGTACCAATTGACTGAAATGTACTAACACCACCGCTCATAGTATTGGATAGTATAGTACCTGAAGAAAGTATAAAACAAACCAAAAATGATGACTTGCAGAATTTCAGTATTATGCAACAACACGCTAAACATACTTCACGTAGAGAAACAAAATAAGGTGGACTTTCTTTAAAGTACCCTTTTAGCATCCTGAGTACATCGTTATAGTGATTGACACTTTCGTCTCAATCAGGAGACGAATCTCGATTTTCGTTGTAAAAATAAGTGGTAATTAGTTCAGTTTAGGGTGAAATTTCAGAACCACGAAAAACCATAGAAGCTATTGAAAAGCCGTTTCGTTCAAGTTTGTGATGCCTCAGGTTCTATAGGTTTACATGGCATAGAATCCGAAATCTTTATGCCTCATGACAAACACAATAACATAAACAAACTAGGTTCGAACATTTATCCATACTTTGTCCAAGGTTCAGATAGTTATCAATTACTTGACAGGAAGTCAGTGAATGTTAGCTAATTATGAAATTTGGAATTCATAGAGAAAGAACAATAAAAAACTAGTAGTTTTAATATAAATTAAGATCAAATTTTCTAAACTGATAATATATAACTCCTTTACAACTAAATATAGGCCGAAAATAACCAATCAACACTATACTTGAATTTAAGAGATGTTGCGAGAAGTAAAAAACAGATTCTTTAATGAATGCAATTTGCGTAACAATAAAATAGTAGCTATAATAAACAGTCAGTTGATTGGAGCTTAGAATATCTATCACCCAAACCAATATTAATTATGAAAACATTGGAATCTTTGATGCGTAAACTATCGGTGTACAGTTGTGACTAAGTAAGTGTGGTGAGACAGGTTTGGGGAATGTACTTAGTAACCTTACCACTCATTCAACTGATGTGGATTTATAGTTTTAAAGTCATCTTGAAATTAATAAATAGGCGATTAGAAATTAAAATCTTAATTTGATATATTAAGACAAACTAGATAAATGTCTAAATTTATCTTACGATGAAAAATGGTTGTCAAGAGACCGGTCAACTGTTCTAGAAAGAATTCACATCGTCAGTCAATTATTATTAATAGGAATAAAACATGGACGTTGAGAAGGAATGCTATCCCACGACTGAGACTGATAGGAGAAATACATCCGAAACACAAATATAAAATACGCAACAATTAATGTTATAAGATATAGAAAAGACGATATTTGTGTACTTACTAGAGTGACCCGATGTTGATGTTGAAGACGTATGTGTGGTGACTGTATTTTGTCGAATAACTGACTCTTTCAATGCTCGAACACTGCCACCACCACCACAAGACTTGAAACCAGTATCAGTTGAACTATATGCGTCAGCATTAGTATACATAGAAGTTCCTTCAGAACATATGGATGAACAAGATATAAGAGATGCTTGTTTCGAAAGTTCAGAGGCAGCACCACCTTTGAAAATAAATGAATCATCCCAACGCTCAGAAGGACTCGGTAAAATATCACCGGTATTATCCAACAGGCTAATGTGAATAATATCTCCACGTAAACGATACAAAGAAGCTAAAATAAAGAGTATAAATAAATAAGTAGAAATTTCTAGAGTATATATTGCGATTAGTGTTAAAAATCCGCAATATTTCTGAACGGGTGTGGTAACAGGACTGTGACAACACTCATTAAAAACTTCTTAGTTTATACATTACAGATATAAAATATAAGCCAGTAATATTACAAGATTACTTATATTAATTTCTACCTCTGTGTGTTTGCTTAAAAGAAGCACATATACACGCACATTACTGGCAAAGGGTAGACAGAAATGAAAAGACTCGAGAAATGTGTATTACTGGAGCTTTTGAGGAATTATTCCATTTAGAAAGACTAATCAACACACAATGTCAAATTCAGATTGTTAGATTTTTAACAAAGGTTTACTAGTTGATAAAATTGTAGCAGATTTTCAATGACCATATATTTCGATGTCGGTTAACGTAGGATCATAGTTAAAATCCTATTGAGAAAAGTATATAATTGTAATTTTTTAAATGGACTCTTGAAGTAAACGAAAATGTCTTAAATGGACATTATCGAGTTGGACCCAGTAAATTTGCTAAAAACATTCAACATCATTCCACTCTAGTACTTTTTATGCCTTGAACAGAGTTTTTCCGTTCATAAATTAAAATAATACATCAATGTGATGAGTGGCAAGTGATCATAGACAGTTATTTTAAAAAAGTATATTCCAATTATTAATACTTTTTAAAAAAATCTGATAATCATATTTTCCAGTCTGTAAAATGTTTATCTAGTTGATGTGTCAGTGAGAACTACGAATTTCAGACACATGAACGTTCATGTTTTCTAAATGAAAAATAGAAACCTAACTAAGACTTGTTTGGCAGAATGTAAGATAGAGGTATATTTGATTCACATTTTGACAAAATTAGTCTATCGAGCTACTGAAATAATTCTTTAACAAGACAAATTTAATCGATAACTTCAGTCCTCTGGTTTTAGCTGAAAAAAAGGGAAGAATCGTTCAGAATTCATGAAAAATATTGCTGACTGGTCTTTGGATTGGATTAAGATTATGTATTTTCCATCGAAAACCGTGGTGTCACACTTAAAATATTATTAATTATCACATACAGAAGTTGGTTATAAATATTAATGTTAAACATTTGTATTTTATGGACAGTAAAAAAGACCAAAGTATCCAGATGAAAATATTTATACTATATATTTGTGGATCTGCAAAACTGAGTCCTATACTAGGACGAAACGACTGTCCAATGCCTCCAGGTTTTCCATGGTGGTCTAGCTTCAATCAGTTCATGAATTCAACTGTTAAATAAAACATAACAAAGTTTATTTAAGAGTTGCTAGATTGAACTACAATTTAGTTAATCTACCCGATGTCTCAATAAAATACTGTTACAAGCTTATGGATTAATTAAAATTCAAGCATTGGATGAATGGACAAGCAACTGAAAACACAATAAGTAATTGAAATATTAAAAAAAGTATTTAATACCCTCTTATTAGTTTCGGATAAACAGAAAGTAGCGAGACATTCAAAAATACAATATAAATTTAGTGATTAAACAAGAGCAGTCAATATATACTTGGGTATTCTATAATAAAATTATTTCATCATGAGAAAAAAGACCGATGTTTTAATAAAAAGAATAAGTTAGATAGCTAGTTTTGCTAGCTTGCCAATACAAATGAACTCTCTATATTTCAATTCAGAAAGATTCCAAGCTCAATAATATATGTGTATACATAACATTGCTTTTGTGTGTGCAGATTGAAGACGAAAATCAATATTAACATTGAGCATAAATGCAAGATAGATTGTACTAATCAAGTAAAATTGACAGTTATTTAAAAAGTAATCAACTTGCATACAACGAAATAGGATAGACATACAAACATGCATACTAATATGACATGCAGACATATAAGAGACGCACATGCCATTTAAGCTGGTACATAGTTATTTGAAAGAAAATCAATAAAACAGTTTAGGATTTAGGTAATTAGTTAAGTGAGATAAATGTCCAGTATTTCTTTGTCGTTTATTCATTCACCATACTTTTCTACTTTATCTGGTGACGTGAACAGGGTAACCTTTTTTCACACAAGTGGACAGAACAAGAAAGTAGCTCGGATAATGTGAATGATCTCATTATTAATGCATTGATATATGCATCTACTTTAAATTTAAATGCGAAGTTTATTACAGGATGTTTCAATTACCATGGAATGAGCTGGAATACCGGTAGTTGTCAGTCATGTAATGGTGAATTCTCAGCGTCAATTAACATACATTACTGGTCACAGTGGGTTTGTATCTCAGCAATGAATGGTAATATACTTGATCTGATATTTTGTAGAGATATCATCCTACTGTCTACACAAGTATACAATCAATTTGAAAGTAGTGACAATAACATAGTAGTTGGTGCTCTCCCTATTTGTCTTTTTTATAGCAAACCCATACGAAAAACTGATTCATATAGAGACTATAGGCATGCTGACTGGGACCTTCTGCACTGCCCGGCAAGATTCTCAAACTAGGATACCTTCTACTTAAGCAATAATCTCGTAGATGGCATTGACACATTCTGTCTGATCACTATCTCTTGCTTATATTCCTGTACACCTCTTGAAACGTACAGGTTTAGTAAACATAACAAATTATTTATACCAGCTAAATATTGTAACAAATTGACACCTACAGAAATGTTTTTTTAAGTCAAACGATTTCATGTCAGTTGAACAAATAAGTAAATTTTTTAACCAAATCAAAGAAAAATATTAACGAAGAGTTGTTAGCATTTCATAATGGCTCAAAAGTACAAAATTCTTTTCAACAAACACTCCTATCCTTTGCTACATCGATGCTTACTTCTCTGAAAATGTTATAAACGACCTTACACCTGTTATTGTATCTTATTCCAGAAGTGAGATTCTAGGACCTTTAAATGTTTAGTTGTTTTTATTACTGAATATGCTAAGTAAACCTACCTATCTGCTGTTACTTTACACTTACAACGTAAGTGTAACTAACTAATTTGAAAAATATCATAAAATAACCTGGCACATGTATTATGGTAGACCTAACTGACCTATCGTAGCAATTACTGCTTCCGTTGTTCAGTGCTCTCTGTTTCCATTTTAATTTTTCTAGTTATAGATGGTTATAATCAATTTGTTATGGAGCAAAGAATGACCTTAAATACATCAACAGAATGTTCACATTCAAAGAATTAACAGTTTTCAGCTGATGCCTTTCATTGTTGTAATACATTTGAAAAATGTACTATCTAAACAATTTTTGAACGAAAAAACTTGCAACAATCTAATTTTCCATGAATTCTCTACACTTAATATTATTATCTAAATCAAACTAATCATGCCTCTCATTAATTCTGTAATTATTATTTTTAGTATATGTTATATTATTATTATAGTACTTTAATGACTAAGGATAGCTATTCTACGACTAACAGCATCATAACACTTCGTTTTCACATTACATCATAGAGATTAATCAGTATTTTCAGAACAAAAACACCAAATATCAGTTAGCTATAATTAAATCCCTTGAAACCTAACAAGGAAATTCACATAGATCATTTATCTAGTGTTCAGAGGACTGATATCAGGGATTATCAATTAAAATGAGATGGGAATAGTTGTTACTGAACTAAAATAAACCAGGTTGACTTATGACATTTTTGGTTGGGATCGATTACTAGCTGACTGATCTACGTTTTTCTTTTGTCGGTATTCATTCAAAAAATGTACCTGCAAGATATGAAGGAAGAGCTCTTTTTGTACGTATATAAGAAGGTATCATTTTTGGAGCTCAATTCAAAGTTAATTAGCACTAACAACGCATGCATTAACATGAATAATGAAAAATTAAAATATAAGGTAGCGTTATTTATCCAAATCACAAACGTAAATACATATAAATGCAGAAAATGTATTATTAATAGAAAAAGGAATAGGAATTACCAATACAATATGAGTGATTGATTGGGACATTATTCAATACTCGATACTTTAGATTCAAAGCAAGGACACATCCGCGAGATGTCCCGATCCAGAGATTTGGGACAAAATGTAAGTCTATATATAGGATACAGAATAATATATAAGGAAAGGTAAGATATTACAAAAAATTACTATTCTTTTCACACAAACTTTATGAATAAAACGTACCTTGTTTAGGGGATATCCATTCACTGAATAAAATTGTTTTAATTGTCTCACAGTTTAGATTATCTAATGAGCTAGAACTTGCGGTTAAACTTCCCGGATGTGAAAACTGTGAAAGGTCGGAGCACTTTTCTGTGATTTTTACGCACATGAAAACAAACGAGAAAGGAATTAAGAAAAAAAGATGTAAGATTTCCGATTCGTTCAGATATTGATATATAACATGCACCTTATTAACACAAACATGATAACAGCATTAAGGAATATCACAAAAAAAAACGAAGCATATTCTTGCAAACACACCAGTTAGCAGAAAAAACAATGATACAAATATGAATATACATTACTTCAGACGCTCATATGGAATATAAGTAGTATGGACGTATATCACGTTGAAAGTGGGAAAATAATTTTTAAAATTAGTGGAAAGATGACCATAAGAATAACTTTCAGCAGGACGAACAATGAACTATCACTCCGTTAATCTAAAAAGTGAACAATACACATGGCTACGAAGCCAGAAAAATGTTCGATAATAAAAGTCAGCCATGTGTATATGTACATATACGGAATAAATATAACTGCTTTTACATACAACACACCTGTTTATGTAAATGAAATGTCTACGGTTACTTAAAGTGATTAAAAATAAGCTAACATTACTATATGAATAAAACATTTTGCGTAAAATATTAGATAGTTGAAAATAGTAAAAGCGTCATATAAAAAAAATTGGGCACGAACAATATGTTAAATGACACAATATGAGTAACTGCCGAAAAGATTACACTTGTTATAATGGTTGATCAGAAAAAACCATCTAAATACAAAAAAAGATAAATAGGCGTACAGTTATTTTACTTGATGGATTAGAACAGAAACTCAGAGAAGTAAGAGATAGGACTTTATTACTGGTATAGCTTCTACCATAGACTAATTGTTAACCAGAGAATATGAACCGTCAGATTTGGAATATTTCTCAAGTTATTTGTATACGATAAACATTGTGCTTCAAACGCTAGATGTTAGCTGGATGTAGACTGAATTAAAGCACTTTCTGTAAAGGATTTTGTTGGGGTACACTGATTCTTATCCGGTCACTGCTAGTGGACATTTGGAAAAGGCTCTAGAATCTTCCTATGTAAGGACAATTAGTAAGCTAACGTTTCTCTTATAGTGATTCCTACTTCCATTCAACCTTTTTATTTGGAATACAACTACGTTCCTGTTCAACAGTGTTCTGGTTTGAAGACTTTCCGAGTGAAGTAGTGCCCAAAAATATTAAGCAACAAGAGCAGTTGGGTGGTAATAAGAGAAATTATAACAGTATCCCATCCCCGTTGCTAAGATCACCAGGAACGATAACAATACAGTTAATGAGTGTCATTATTTCATAAAGCAGTTAGTTTTTTATGATAAGTATACAGCTGAAAAAAACTTAAGAACATCTACTTTTTTTTTTCAGATTTCTAATTATTTATCGATTTAAATAATACCTGGTTGACGTAATATGACTGAAGAGTTTCCTGAATAGAACGCAAAAACGCATGAGAAATCTTTAAGGCATAGCAGTGAATGAACATGAAAATTTTATCCAGGCGACTTTAAAAATAAATACTTATATCTCGTTCTACATAAATTGACTAGTATTTAAAAATGTTACTAATAAGATTTGCACAGTAGATTTATTTTAATCATGAAGACAGTCTAAATAAAGCACCAATACCAGTGAAATTGAATGATATCTAATCCTATGTGGTCGAATACAGCTTAATGAAGAATTACAGTGTAGTGTTAATCTAACCGTAACTTTTATTAGTTGAAATTTCAGCTCATCGATTCGAGGAAAATCCTTTGTACTTAATGCAAAAAATAACTTCAGCTATTCAAAAAGGAAAACGAATAATGTTATAAACCAGTCCAAATAATATTATTGTATGCTTCAATAAAAATAACAAATTTTTGCCCATTCACGAATAAATTAGCACAATTATATTGTAACCTTGATAAAGCTGATCATGCATTTTAAAATACCGAAAGAAATTATGAAGTGAAAAGTTTCTAAAGATCTGTTTACCCAAACTTAGTGGATTTAAAATTTTAGCACGTGTAAACAGCAAATAAAGTGGTGATAAAAGAACTGATATACGTATTCACACAAAAATGTAGTTAAAAAGATGCATTTGAATTATTAGGTCATTCACTGAGTACGCTAAGAAATTCCTCACCAAAAATCTCAATATAAGAGGTACGAATCGACTGGAGAAACTTTAAATCTTACATATCACGAGAATGCTTGTAATTTAACAACAACATACACACTAGCAGACACACATAAACCCACACAAAGAATACGGTAAAATCAAACAACCTGAAGAAGTGTTTTGTGCATTAGACGTTTGTCCTTGTTGACGAGATGATTGATTTGTTCGACAGGCCAAAACCACTATTGTAAATGGATGTATATACAACAAATAATTCAGTTAGGTTGCTTATAATTATACTACATGTAAAAGGTTCCTCTGTTAGAAATAGTCTTTGTATGGGAAATGATAACGGTATGACTGTAAAATAAATTTTTCATGCATTTTCTGTCTACTTGTGACACAATATTTATTCCAATGCATACTTATTAAACAAAGAATATATTTGAGGATATTTCAAAGGATTGGTAAAATTACAAACTAGGAGGGAAATGAACAGACAGATCTGTCGAAGAGAAATCATTTTCAGGTTTTTGATATGTATATTAAAACAAACTACTGATTAAACTGAACGCAGAACAATGGAGTGACTAAGTTACTACACACATTTTAATCCAGAGACTAATCAACAAAATATAAGGAATGTGAGAAGAAAACCAAACTAAATAATTATACAGCAATACACTTAAATCTTTCGGTACTGAATTTTGTATAGTCAATTGAACAAAAAGGTCAAGTTTAAGCAATGAATTCGTCTGGAAAATTGTACTTATATTTCATATCAGTGTATATTGTACTGGATAACAGAGCGAATTTGAGTAAGTTATGCATCACTAATGAAAAAAACGTAACTTATTAAAGATTGTACACATGCTATATAAGTAATCCATATTAATTAATCAGGAGGTCTTCGGCTGTGAACCAATGTTTAAAATTTTATTATCAATTTAACAACAAAGTTACATATTATCGTTGCCACTGTCTTTCGAATTGTTACTGAAAATAATGTAACCTTCATATATATATAACAAACCGACTAATCTCTTAATCGTTACGATTGGTGAAACGATCAAGGTTAAATGAAAGTGACTTAAGACAGCACAGGGACAATAAGGCATTTATAGAGGTAAGGGATAAAACAACAAATAATACAGAGACGTTATTTATCATTATACATATTTATTAATCAGCCAACTGACCTTGGGACTTGGCACGTTTCAATTCACTTTTGACAGTTGTAGCTCTTGACAATACATAGCGTGTTGTATAACCGGTACTAGATGACTCACTCGATTGTGCAGCATCTGAATTTGAGTGGACGTTTTTCAAAGCTGTCTGATTGTTTATAATGCATGTATTAGCCAACGAAGTTGAGCCAGCTGAACTATTATTCTAATTCATAATACATTATTATATACGCGAGAAAAGGAATATAAGTTAACCATTAACACATATTATGGGAAAAGTGAAAGTCTTAGTAATAAACCAGTGGTGATAGCAGTTACTAATGTACATCAAATGAATACATAGAGATCAGCGTTGTTTACTAAACCTACACAAATGAGGACATTGTAAGTAGAGAACCAGTGAGAATACTGAAACACACATAGAAAATCTAATATTACCAAAAAAAGGAGTAAAATATAAACAACAGTTTTAATATGAGATATAGTATACATAAATTCAAGCAATATATTTAAAACTCACTCACAAACAGCTACTAAGGGACTAGTAGTTTTCAGCTGACTGAAGTTCTTAACCTCAGGCAACAAATAAGATTATCACGATGGTGATGATGTGCGAGTCAGTGTTGACGAGAAATCTTTCTAGATTTATATGATCCGTTCAGGTTATCATGATTATCAACTTTAAGTTCATTAATTCTGACTTTTAGTAGTGAATTAATAACTTTAACATCTGTATAATAATACTTTGTAATTATTCGATGACGTTTATCAATAGAACGATTTGCTTTTGATAAAAAAAACATTTTTGGGTACTTTGGAAAATATCTATTCTTGATTGGTGTTTCTTGTGAGTATCAGTGAAATCATTACGATGATTAATTGATGTAAATGCCCCTGAAACTAGATATGACACTGAATCTTCCATAGGATTGTTGCTAAAAAGCTGATCAAGTGTCGAAGGAGATATTTCCAGAGAATATGATTGGTCCTGAATAGAAGCTCTACGAGATGATTGAGCAATAACAACATTGAAAGAATACTAGAAATTGAACGACATACACGACAATAACATAAGAAAACAAATACAAGACAACATTTGTATTCAAGATAGACAGCACTCAATTAACAACTACAGATAAACATTTTATATAAAAGTAGTAAAAATGAAATTAGGAGGGAACATGGAAACACGTAAACAATAAACACACTCAGATACATCTATGTAAACATGTAATATAAGATTGAAATAAATGAATATAATTGACTCATTTATATAACAAGGAACTAAATTCATTAAAAAGTATGTTATTAATGTAAATCTCTCTAATTGAGTACGCTGAACAAAATAAAGTGAGTGATCTGAAATTTTTTGTTGAAATATTAGTCACTTAAAGTTTAGAACACCAAATACAGTAAAAAGAAAAAAGGAAGGAGCCTTTAATGACTATTTTGATCTGACTGTATCACCGACATGTTGTAAGGTAAAACTTGAATAGATAAAAAAAGATGAGAGTATAGAAATTATGAGCCAGAATGATAAATCCTCAACGTCACATGAATCAATCATTTGATTTTTCTGATACGATGTTCCACAGACGCGTCAAGGATCATCACATGAGTAAATTGGGTGATACAGCCAATCGTGTTAGCTTTTTATTGTAATATTCAATTTAAAATAAGTGGTTATGATACAACTTTAAAAAGTAAAGAATGATCTGAATTATGTCAGTCAATGAGTTCAGAAACATTCGGATACAAGTATCATCCTTTACGAACAGTCACATATTAACTTTAATGTTCTAAATTGTTTCCTCGAGAATGAATGACTGCTGCTTAACAAAACTAATAATGCACTAACGAACATTAGAACTGGATTTCGGAGACTGTTCGACTTCAATACTACCACTTAATAAAACCGGTTTGGTAGTAGAAAACTAGCACGAACATCTCAACAATGAGTTTACTGACACATTTGGTAAATTCCACTTTTCCGCCAAAAATCTAGGTACTTGAACAAGGTAAATAGTTAAAAATTCAATAAGGCTTTCATTTGGTTTTCAGTTATTTCTTTATTAGAATCTTTTAAAAAAAAACTTATAGTCATGATTTTCGTTAAACATTCTAACAAAAAAATGGAAAACTGATCAAATAAAACCTTTTTTCTAAGAGAATCATAAATAGAAAAACTACTGTATGCTAAAAGATAAATATGTGCACATCTTAAACTGCAGAATATGCACTCAATATTGATGTTTTTATGCGAATATTTAAACTAAATAACCTGATATAAATTAATCGAGTTGATTTAGAATTGGATCTTCACAGGAGACTAGCATGAACAGAAGGAAGTTAATGTTTTCGATCAGTTTTATTAGAGCTAAATTTTATAGAAAAAAGCCTGTTTGAAATGAAAATGAAAATAATACATCCGTATACAACAGTTACAGAAAACATTTCGCCTAAATCTAAAACGATCGCTTTGGTATTCATCGTTTCATTACATATAAACGTTTTTTCAAAGACACAAAAATCATACGGTGATAGGAGTTCAACTAACGAAGATATAATTAACTACCTGATCACAGAATTTCACTTCACCCGAAGCAGACGACCCAGTTAGATTGATAGGACCGCGACCTGATGGAGTTAGATAATAAGCAAAAATAAATACTTATATTAGTAAAACTGATAAAAATCATGGAAACGGTTTATTTGATAATATTGACTACACTTTTCATTTGTTATGATAATAAGCAGAAATATATAACTAGAATTATTGACGAAATGATTTAATTACCTAACTGAATCTCAATCAACTAAAACAATGATTATTTAATGAGATAGAGAAGATCATACGAGGTCTTAGTGTATGAAGTAGCGCGTGGTTTTCAAAAACTATTAACACAGACCCGTTGTTTACAAAAATAAAACAAAAACGTTCACAAAGTACAATCAATGATATATTCAGGCAGTCAGCCACAACGACGGATCAGACACATATATGCATCGGTCCAAGTTGCCATACCTCATTAGCACAACAAGATGAACACCAAATTCATAGAAGTAGTTAAGTCAATGGTGGTAATATATAATAGAAAGATTGCATATAAGAACATAGTACAGGAAGAAAAAATTAGTTCGTAGAATGAAAGATATGAAGCGACTTTATTCTCATAGTTTAAGGGAAGACCAAGAGTATATACACCTACGCCATTGTGATAGATCCTGAGCCGTGAGATCCACAGTCTCCAACAATTGGTTACAATAGTCACGCGGACCCCGACCAAGTAGTCTGCATCTACCAACATGGCTCAGACCAGAAGTTAGTGACTTCAAGCACTGGTGTCATGTTTTGGTTCGGTCGCCCCTAACATTCTTCCATACGTCTCCAACATTGTCAACAATGCTCGTCGTGGTAAACGTTGTAGCTGGCTGACTGACTGACTGTCTATGATCATGAAAACTAATTCTCTTGCTTCGACGAACATTCAAATGATTCAATTATTGTTATTGCTGTTATTATTATTATTATTATTACTATTATTATTTACTACGTCATTATTCACCCTCCTTTATTCCCACTCTGTTTATACTTATTTTTTCGACTTAAAGAGCAGCTCGTCTATGGTGGAAATTCGACTGTATCTAAACGTTCTCGAGTCACTGTCCAATTGAAAATTGTATGTTACCACCGAATACGAGGACTGAAGCAGTTTTCCTGAAACCACGTGCACCATTCAAACTGGCTGTCTTCAACGCTCGCACACTTATGCAGGTCGGACAACAAATAGGGCTGGCTATGTCTTTGGGAAGTCTTAATATCGATGTTTGCTGTCTATCAGGGTCCCGTATTCAAGACTCTGGTCAAGTACTACAAATTCGCCCTCTATCTGTCGCTTCAAAAAGCTTGTTTTACGTGCGTTTATCTGGGGATCCTGTGGCATCTTCGTCTGGTCTTGCTGGCATTGCTGTCTCACTAAGCGCTAGAGCTGAGGCAGCACTAATCGATTAGATCCCCAATAACAGTCGGTTATGTGCTGTTAGATTAGGAAGTTCCATCAAAGTGAGAAGAAATAGGCGTGAGAAACGATGTCTTTCCGTCATCTCCACCTATGCTCCGACAGATTGCAGCCCGGATGCACTCATGTATGAATTTTACCACCAGTTATCTGTTCTTCTCCAGAAAGTGCGTTCGACAGATATTGTAGTACTAGCAGGAGACTTGAATGCTCAGGTCGGGCGTCTAGGCACAGAAGAGAGTCGTTTAGGTGGCCGATGGGGTCTTGTTAATCGCAGGACAGATAACGGGGACCGTCTACTGCAACTGTGCACAGACCACAACCTGTTTCTGACTAGCACTAACTTTCGACACAGTCATCGCCGATGTTCCACTTGGCGTCCTCCCTCTGCATCTCAGGCCTGGACTCAGATTGAACACATCGCGACTGGCTACCGCTGACGTGGTTGTGTAAAAGACTGCCTCTCCTTTTGGAGTACCTATCTGGACTCTGACCATGCCTTGGTCTGCACCAATCTTACCTTACTTTTCAGTGGCCAACGAAGTGACCGCCATCAACGGATTGATGTTAGCAAGCTGGTTGCAACTTCTGTTGCAAGTAGGTATCGAACCGAGCTAGCGTCTAGGCTAGCTACCATTCCACCGAAAAGTATAGATGAGCATTGGTTGCAATTGCATGACGCCATGAAAATGGTGGGTACAGTCAGTTGTGGGTTCGCGAAACGTCCCGCTTTTAAGCACTGGGTTTCTTTTGGTTCCTTACAACTCATTGAAGCCCGTCGGTCTACTCCGGGTGACCTTGAGTTTGACCACAAACGAAGGATGTTACGTAACGAAATTGGGCAAAGCTTGCGTAAGGACCGAGAAGCCTGGTGGTCGGAACGTGCTAATGGGCTGGAAGCAGCAGCTGCATCTGGTAATTACCGGAAGCTCTTCCAACTCATCCGAGCCAATGGCAGCAAGAAGTCTGGTGTGCTCGAAACAATCTATGAGTATGACGGGATGCCAATCACTAACATCCATCGACGTCTTGGACGATGGTCAGAATTTTTCGAAGGGCGGTCGGACTGTCTTGTCCTCCATGGCCGGTGACGACTGATCCACCAAATGAGGCGGAAGTACGCAAGGAACTCCGACTCTTGAAACGCTACAAATCACCTGGCCCAGATGACTTACTACCGGCTCATTTTAAAGATGGTAGTGACTTTCTTGCTGAGGAACTGACGACGTTGTTTACAAAGGTTTGGGAGCTGGAGAGTTTACCAACGTCATGGAATGAGTCAATAGTTGTCCCTATCTTTAAAAAGGGTTCACATCGTTCCTGTAACAACGTGTTGGTGAGATCAATTCTGCTCTATGCTTGTGGAACCTGGTCTCTCCGAGTTGAGGATGTTAGATGACTCTCTGTGCTTGATCACCGTTGTCTCCGAAGGATTGCTGACATCCAGTGGCAACACCATGTGCAGAGGTTCTACATCGTGTGTTCGGGCACAGAGACGATAATGCAATTGGTGTCACCATCTTGAAACACCGACTTCGGTGGCTTGGACATGTTCTACGAATGTCATCCCAGAGAATTCCACGTCGTGCATTATTTGCCGACTCTGGTACTGGTTGGAGGAAGCGGAGAGGTGGTCAGTGCATGGCATGGTGTCGTGGTATGAAAGAAAGCTGCAAGGGCCGGCTTCTGTTGGTCCTTCACGACTCCCTGGTTGGGGTCCGAGAGATGGTGTTACACAGTGGCTAGAGACGTTATCAGATATAGTTCAGAATAGAAGCGATAAGTGGTTGTATCTTCCTTATCTGAAAAATTTCTTCTGGTTATGCCTTTCCGTTTCAACGATTATTATTATTTTACACTACCTAACACTAATCTGGTCGTTATTCTTTTTTTCTCTCTTCTACGCTTCTTACCTTCCTTTTTTTCTCTTCCCATTCTCATTGTTTTGTGTGGCACATATATATTTGGTGCCCCCTTGTACCAATATTTATGTGTTCAAATAAATAAATAATGAATAAATCATTTAGAAAGAAAGAGTTAGTAATCTAGCACTCATGAGAGTGATTGAAGAGAATGAGACTATAAAACAGTGGTTGTGTTCTTATTTGATGAACTTATGTTCAGAATAATGAAGTTTTAATGAACTCGTTAAGATTGAAGAATAAAAAGACTGAATCCATCGCAGCGCCACTAATAACATAAGTTTAATAAAAAATGAAATCAATAAATAAATATATAGGTACAATATCCCGCTATCAAACTGCAAAATAAAAAAATACTTGCTACCACAAAGACAGAAAAAGGTTGTCATCTCAGGCATAGACTACGTAAAATTAACTAATAACGTCTAACTGCTTAGACAAAAAAGGTCAGTTAAATAACTGTACTACTTGTTCAAGAGTAGTCAGTAATAATGCACGTTTATTGTAAAGAACACTATTTGAAAAAACGAAATCAAACAAGACGAAAAGCAAATTCAGACAATTAAAAAAAATAAAAAGGGAACTCCCTCTAGAAATAAACACTGACAAAAGTGGAGACAGCAATTTTTTATTCATTTTGTTCATGCTAGTGATAATTACTAGTTTGACTTCAGAAATCCACCAAAAGAGATAAAGGGAAATGGTTGGAGAAGAAAGTATTGTATCATCAATATTCATCGTCTAACAACAAGGTTTGACTGTAATTAAACCGGTCAAAAGTATCGATGAGATTAAGAAGTAGTTTGTATTGAGTAGACAAAATGGGGTATCATAAATAATGTAATAAAAGTGAGATATCGATGAATTAGATTGTAATGTGTGTTGTGAAACTGTTAAAATAACAACTATGAATAATTACATTATCCAAAAGTATAATGATGGAGTACCAAGACCGATTCTTTACAAATAAACAATTCACGTTCATAACCCAACTACATTCGCACGATTTCATTATTACTAAACATCGATAAAAGTATGAATCCAAGGAGTCCAAGACTATGGACTAAACAGCTATCCAGTTGTCTTTTGATATCAAATGGTGATTCAAATGATGTTGCTTCATGAGAACAAGTTGTAAATTAAACAATAATTTCGACAATTTTCCAATAATAAAAAAACAGATATTTAGAAAATAATGGATAGTACAGTTAAAAATTTAAAAAACTCACTTAATAAGTCAGAAGATGAAATAGATAGCAAGCAAATCTTGTGAATATAATCCACAACAGCAATGCCGAATTCACTTCCAATAGCCATTCTAAAAACAAGTAATAGTTCCGCTATTAGAATGATAACCAAAACGATTGTAAGTAAATTGAAATAACCCTTTGTACATGATGACTAAAAACTGATGTAAAAGAAATAAGATGAGCACTTGAAATGTACCACAATAGCTTGAGATTTATAATAAGCCTGAATGAACTGTTATTCTGAACATAAGTAGTCTGTCAGGTGTGATTTGAAAGGCCAATATTCTATCCCGACGAGTTACAGTACCATAAACATATGATGAGACACATGATAAACTTTTCTAAACATGAACGAATATTATTTTTTCAGTTAATGATTGTGAGCTGGATTTCAAAGGTTTAAACACATTGGAGGCTAGAGAAAAGATAATGATTCAATGTTTCACAAAATAATCATGAATAGTTTGATTGACAGAATGAAACTGGTGTGTATTCTCAAGCAACTTGACTAAACATTTGAAACAAATAACTCAGTAAGCCTAGATGATCAGATTTATACGATTCAGCAGATTTAAATTAGACTTCTTTTTTGCGTAAATTCGGGACGCAATTAATGAACAGGTACCGTGATTAGGTTGTACCATTAGAGCTACGAAAGGTAATTTCGTCTCAACAATTGAAATAGGATGAGAAGTAGAGATTTTCTTACAAACACATGGTAGAATGATCGAAAAATGGACATTTTTCACCTAGAAATAATTTGTGTTCGACGATCTAGTTAAAAAGTAAACAAAAGACTATAATTAAGAAGTTTGAAACTTACAAACTAAAAGCTGAACTCATGCTAATAGCTGTAATGGATGGCGGAGGGATGAAACAGGAAGATGTAGGATCGGTACTTGACTTTAGATTTGACTCAAAGTTTAGTCCAAGTATGCCTACACGACAAACAAGAAGTGGTTGGTAGCCTGGAGGCCAATGATGGCTACCTTGACGTACTGGAACGAATACACGTAAATCCTATTCAAGGAAGAAAGAATGTCGAATACTCTTAATACTACACATGATAAAAGAATATACTTTGTGGAGATCACTAGTTTCACAATAAAGAAATGTTATTTAATCTTACACTAAGAAAGCAATAATTTGACCCTAAGGAAAATATAACAATTGTTCAGTAGTTCACGTTTGCCGGCTCTACTTTAAGTGATACACAACAACAATTCCACGTTGATACTCTACACGCAAATATATGGATGAGAAACCAAGACTTTAAGAATAGTTTTGTTCCGAACATAAGTCAAAAATTAAAGTGAAGCAACCCAGTTTATATAGCAACACCAAGCCAAATTAAGAAAATAAAATGGTTAAATTGAAAATCATAATAGCCAATAAATCCGATAACACCAAATGTCATCGCAGAAATATAAGTTAGTAAAATGTGACCGAAGAGATCGTTTAAAGAAATGAAAATAAAGAAAACTAGATAATTATAGTTTTTTAAAAGAATATTAAATGAAGAATTTCATCTAAATATAACGGGAATGAAAAGGACAAATAAAATCAATAAATGTGCATAAAGATAAAAAGAATGGAAGCTATGTGAATAATATAATGTGACTTGTATAACAAATCAGACTGATTCTATAGGTGATCGAGTTAACAATCGAACGACTGTCCTGAATGTTGCTGTTTAGAGTTTAATTATGACAAACTCTAGTCAACAACTTGATCGTTTCTAAGAGTTCGTGTTAGTAGGGTTTGAGATTTCCTCAGAAAACTCTTCAGAAGTTGGGAAAAGGCTGAAAATACATGTCCAGTCAATCGATATAAGCTTCCCAAGGAAAAAACGACGAATTATGTGCTATATTCTGAGTGGATAAATACCGACTTTGTTATTAACTGTAGTATGTTCCCAAAGGCTCCCAGAATATCAGGTTCATATCTAAACCTATTCATGTGCTCAAGTAAATTCCAGAGTAAAGCTTCTTTTCATACTAAGAGTATTTTGTTTCTTTGTTCGGAGCTCAGCTTACGTTTTAGAGATATTTGTGGAAGTAGGAAGCGCTTACAAGTCAATGTCAAGCGTTGAGATATGAGAAATATCAGGTTGTTAAAAGGTAAACATAAACGGCTTAGTTATTGAATAATCAGTTATCTTCTCCATTGAATTTCGACTGACAGGAATGAGTAAATCTAGTTAGAATGCTAGTAAAATCTTTCATTTATTTCGATATAACCGATGAGTTGAACTGAAAACTTGAATAAAAACTAGTTATATTAGTTATTAAACTTGTGGACTACTTATGCAGAATTTGAAATAACAAATACTTGATAAAGAAAAATTACACTAGTTACAGTAAGACAATAGAACGAAACCGATAACATTTAGACCAACAGAAAGCCGGACATAATTTATTGTGATATAAATATACAGAAAACATCAAATTTCGATCAGCGTATTTCTGAGGATAGATATATAAAAATAAAAGGAATCTACGTATCGTCATTATTGTCCCTAAATATGTCTTGTTAAATGCCTGCATGAAAGCATACGCATAAAGATATGAAACAATAGGTATTCATAAACACTAGTCACATATGTCAAGAATATATAACCGCTAAACAAACAATAAAAACCACAAAAAGAATACTGATAATAATTTTTGATAATCATTCAGAAAAAAATTTATTTCGGTCAGAGCTTATTCATTTTTTCAACTTTTGTTCTTTATACTCATATTGATAAACTGGAAATCACTCTGTTTAATCAGTACTCACATGGAACCCAGTGAGCAGCTGCTATGTCCATTTAGCCTAGAAAGAAAATTTCCACTAAAAACCATTGTTGTAACCAGTTTATCAACTGAATTCTCGATCACATGTTTTCATACATTTAAATGGTGCGCATCATTCAACTTGGAAAAAATACGAACATGTACAAACAGTTTCCAAGTGCATTGAACGTCACAAAATAAGTACATTTATCAATCATCTGTGGAAAACAAGAAACATAATTACTTCAAAGAATCACAAATGTGCTGATGGGAAACGAAATAAAATCTATTTAATGGAATACAACAGAACTTCTACTAAGTAAGCTTTTAACAGTTCACGAATAACTTATAAGATTTCAAAAGGAAAAAAGTTTGGATTAGCTACATACTTATTGATCTTTTCATCAGAAAAATAACATCAAATATTTTTGAAGGTGCGAAATTTGAAATAAATGAAAATCAAATAATCAGAAGGAAAGTTAGTAGATCTAGTATATGGTACGGGAAATTTGGTTACGAATATAACTCCGTAATAAGAATATATTGTCACAACTCTATATACATATCACTAAACCTTTAGACAAATTAGCGAAATGAAAAGAACTAATAAAAAATAAGGCTTCAAGAAAAATTAAATAGGTCAGTTTAGTCACGCAATGAATGTATGCAAGAAGATACTGTAAAAGTTGTAGGACATTTTAAGTCGTAAATATTTTTCACAATGAATTCAAATCACTGTAAAGCAAGGTAATCAATTTGCACAGAAAATAAAGAAACCTACATGCAGTAATAAAAGGTTGAAAACAAAGTATACAAAGTTTTTATCAAGAGAAGATTGAAGAACAATTTTAAACAGTAGAAAATTGAAAACTATAAAATAGTTATCCATTACAGAGTGTTTGGTTCAAAAATGTTGTTTAGTTGATACAAAGTTAGTGTCTTAAAACCGAAGTTCTTCGTTTAATACAAATCGCAGTTTGCAGCAATCTGGGAATTCGAGAAACTTTGGGTGAATGGATAGAGAGATGATCCCAGAATAACAAAAAAGTGTACGTTGGATTCAGACGAATATCTAGCTTAAACTTCGTATGTTATTGTTAAATACTGAGTAACATGCATCAAAATCAATTATGATGGAGGTGTATATCATTACCAAGGTTTGACTTGATAGTTTTAAATGAATTCAGCATTGAGTAGATTATTATCCATAAATATAATATATTTATATACAAAGGTTCCTTTGTACTATTTAATTATTTTTATTTGGTTACTTATTTTCCGAAGAAGTGTCTTACACTGAGTTACGAAACGTCGGAAAATTTAATGTTTCTACTCATTGAGATATTATAAATATATTACTTTTATTTACAGCTGCGATAGTTTGCTATCTTCCTCTAAAAATATTCAGTTTAATTTCATTGCATTTTTGTCGTTATTCGGTTTGATTTGTTCCGTGTGAACTCTAATTCTCATGTATAGGCTTCCTACCTCAGTTGGTATTATTTCCCCCCTTATATTTATATTCACTTAGTCAGTTCCCAGAATCATCAAAGCATCATTCAAAACAAAGAAGGAGGGGATCTTAATGAATATTATCCAATGTTATGCACCCACAAATGATAGCAACGACGACATCAAAGATCAGTTCTACGAGCGGCTGCAGTCAGTCATTGAAAAATGCCCAAGAAAGGACCTAACTATTCTGATGGGAGATCTAAATGCCAAAGTCGGAATAGACAACACCGGATATGAAGATATTATGGGACGACATCGACTAGGAGAAAGAAACGAAAATGGAGAAAGATTTGCAAATCTATGTGCATTCAACAAATTGGTCATAGGCGGCACAATATTTCCACACAAGCGTATACACAAGGCTACATGGATTTCACCGGACCACACTACAGAGAACCAAATAGATCATATTTGCATCAACAAATAATTCCGAAGGACAATGGAAGATGTGAGAACCAGGAGAGGTGCTGACGTAGCTTCAGATCACCACCTAGTTGTGGCCAATTTAAAACTGAAGCTAAAAAAGAACTGGACAAGTGGACAAACAGCACTACAAAGGTTCAATACAGCCTTCCTTCGAAATACTGACAAACTCAATGAATTCAAGATAGCTCTCAACAACAGGTTCCAAGCCTTACAAGATCTACTGAAGGAAGAAGAAACTACTATGAAGGATAACTATAAAAGTATCAAAGAAGCATTAACTTCAACGTGTCAAGAGGTTCTGGGCCTAAAGAAACACCATCATAAATAGTGGATCTCTATAGAAACATTGGACAAGATCAAAGAAAGGAAGAACAAGAAGACAGCAATTAACAACGGCCGAACACGAGCAGAAAAAGTCCAAGCACAAGCTGAATACATAGAAGCAAACAAATAAGTGAAGAGGAGCATTAGAGCCGACAAGAAGAAATACGTGGAAGAACTAGCAACGACGGCAGAAAAAGCTGCTAGAGAAGGAAATATGAAACAGCTTCATGATACAACGAAGAAACTAGCAGGGAAATACAGTAAACCAGAGAGACCGGTCAAAGACAAAGAAGGCAAGCCAATCACCGAAATTCAACAACAGCGGAACAGATGGGTAGAATACTTCGAGGAACTCCTGAATAGGCCGGCTCCAATGAATCCACCGGACATCGAAGCGGCACACACAAATCTTCTCATAGATGTCAACCCACGAACGAAGGAATGGCCCTCAGACAAATCAAGAACGGGAAAGCAGCGGGTTCGGACAACATACCATCTGAAGCACTGAAGTCAGACAGAATTCCTGCAGTTAAAGAACATATGGAACTCAAAACAACTTTCAACCAATAGCAAAGTGAGAATCTTCCATACCAACGTCAAGGCAGTTCTACTGTATGGAGCTGAAACTTGGAGAACTACAACAACCACAATCAAGAAAGTACAAGTATTTATAAATAGCTGTCTACGCAAGATACTCAACATCCATTGGCCGGATACCATCAGCAATAGCCTTCTGTGGGAGAGAACAAACCAACTTCCAGCTGAAGAAGAAATTAGGAAAAGACGATGGAAATGGATAGGACATACATTACGCAAATCGTCAAACTGCATCACGAGACAAGCCCTAACTTGGAATGCTGAAGGGAAGCGAAAAAGAGGAAGGCCAAAGAACACATTGCGTCGGATAATAGAAGCAGATATGAAAACGATGAATTACAACTGGACGGAGCTAGAAAGGATTGCCCAGGACAGTGTTGGATGGAGAATGCTGGTGAGCAACCTATGCTCCTTCACGAGGAGTAACAGGCGTAAGTAAGCAGTTTCCTTCTTCATTGCGTAGATGAACGTTACAGAAAATTAGGGCAACAAACACTAGTGTCAGAACGAAGGTTGACTGTAACTCAATGAATTATTTAACGAAATGTAAATTTGTCTCAATTTGCTTGTGATAAATATAGTATCTGACATACCCCCCCCCCGTTTTTCACAATTATCTAACACAAATCCCACTTTTAATAAGTACTCTTCAGGAGATGAAAGTGATATGGTATGATACATGAGGGAATTCAACACATCTGACAATCATTAATTATGTAACTACGTATCCGCAATAAAAACGTTAAAACTTAACAAAATGTTCGATTTCCTCCTTCCATAATGAAGTAACGAATAATTGAAAAATGGCTTGGTGACATAAAGTGCATTAATAAATAAAAATTATAATCCTTGCAAATGATATTTTTATACAGAACTTTTTTGGATAATCTACTACATAGAATTGGTATGTACCCTAACTAGAGGCGATAGTATACTTGATCTAATATTTAGTAGGGATGTCATCCCACTATCTGTAAAAGTATACCATGAATTTGAAAGCAGTGACCATAAGATAATAGTTTGCGCTCTCCTTATCTATCCTTCTTATAATCGACCCATTCAAAAAAAACCTGCCAATAAGGAGACTATAAGCATGTTGACTGGGACCTCCTGGATTCACTGATTAAGCTTTCAGAGTGGGACAACTTTTTTTCATGTAATATTCTTATGGATGTTATCGACGAATTCTATCTGATCAATAACTCTTGTTTAGATTCCTGTGTACCTCTTGAAACGTACAGGTTTAATAAACCTTACGAATTATATACACCAGCTGAATATCGTAATAAACTAAGACGCCTACAGAAACGTTATTTTAAGTCAAACGACTTCACGGCAGTTGCACAAATAACAGTAATTTCTAATCAAATTAAAGAGAAACATAGGTTAAAAGCCATTAATGAGGAGATACTAGCACTTAATACTAACTCACAAGTACAAAACATTAACTCTTCTTTTCACTAAACGCAATAAAGCAACTCAAAATGTTGATATACCATGCATCCAGCATATGAGCACTTTTATATACGAGTATAAAATATAGCAAACCTTTTCAATGGTATCTTTGCGAATGGTGTAGAAATCATAAGTAGCTGTGCTTCAGGAATTATGTGCGTGACTAGCAACTCAATAAAATCTATCTCTTTCACATGCATGAAAATTAATAAGGCTAAAAATACCCTTAAGCTTTCGAAAGGTCATGGAGTAGACGGGATTTCATCATTTCTCTACAAATATGGTGGTCCAGATATCCCACTTCTTCTTCTAAAGCTGTTTACTTTCTCTACGCAAACCGGTTCTTACCCTTACTGTTGGAAAACCGAGTGCATCATACCACGTTACAAATCTGGAGATAAGACTGACATGAACAATTACCGGCCGATAAATATTACTCTAGTTATCTCTAGGATTATGGAAAAAAATTATCAGTGATGAACTTTCCAACTATTTACTCGCTAGAAAATTTATCCATGATACTCAACAGGGATTTCTTAAAAATCGATCTTGTATGACATGTCATTTTGACTTCTTTAATTCAGTCTATTCTCTACGTAGCCGAGGATATCTAGTCTTAGTGCTATATCTGGACATTTCTAAAGCCATCGATATGATTAACCACCAACTTCTTATAGGTAAACTCGCATCTTATGGGGTTCAAAATCCTTTGCTAGCTTGGTTTGATTCCTTTCTCAGCAATCGACATCAAATACTTAAAATTAATTCTTCATTGTCTAACGCTGTCCTTGTTAGAAGTGGTGTAATACAAGGTAGTGTCTTAGGCCCTTTGCTCTTTTTAGTGTTTATCACTGGTATTTGTGAAAGATTTTGTGCGGGTAAGCCCCTTCTATAAGCAGATGATCCTAAAGTAGTACATTCATTTTCTGCACATGATCTGAAGCATATGCAAAATTGCATCAGCATGGAGCTTAACAAGGTAAAGCAGTGGCGCCCATACTGGCAACTGGAGCTTAATACGGTTAAATTTGGATGGATATGCTTCGGCAATACATCACTCAACTTAGATCTTACTATAAATGATGAAGTGTTATCTAGGTTACATACAGTAGTAGACTAAGGACTTAGGTACTCCTAAAACTTGTCGTTTACAGAACAGATATTGAAACAGACCTCTAAGTCTCAACGTCTTGTAGGTTACATGACTAGAAACCTTTATAACAATGAGTCACGTATTTTAATGTACAAAGTTTGTGTTCGACCACTTCTAGAATATTGCACGTTTATTCTTAGCAGTACGCACATAAAGGATAAATTAAGACTGGAATCAGTACAGAGACGATTTACACTTCGTATTCTTGGAGCTGATTGTACCTTAACTTATAATTCTAGATGTAATAAACTTCGGCTAGACCCTTAATGGTAAAGGAGACTCAAACTAAATCTTATCTTTTTTCTTCAAACTACTTAATAAACCATCCTTTACATCCAATCACGTGATTCAATATGCAGAAACTTCTCATTATGACATCAGTAATTCCTTGTCACTAGTGAAACAAGCTTATTCTAAATCATCTCTTTATATGAATTACTTTACCTGTAAATTTTCTAGACTCTGGAATAACTTACCACAATCTATCCGTACGATAAAATCACTCCCATTATTTGTTCGCTTCATCGATGCATACTGCTCCTCTGAAAATGCACTGAATGTCCTAGCACCTGTAAGTGTATCTCATTCCACAAGTGATATTATAGGAACTTAAAATGCTTAGCCACTTTCATTAGTACATTCCCTAAGTAAAACCACCTACTTGCTGTCACTTTATGTTAATACGGTCCCAAGCAACTTTAAATAATTTGAATAACATCTAACATCAACAGTATATCACTGAGTCACATGACATATGCATTTTGGTAGACCTGATTGACATATTTTGGTAATTACTGCTTTGTTGTTCCATGCTCTCCGTTTTCGTATTAATTTCTCTAGTTGTAGAAAATTATCATTAATTTAATCTGGTACAGGAAATGACCTTAATTATACTGCTCATAAACCAACAGGCTATCCATTTAAGAAAAATTAAAAGTTCTCGGCTGATGCATCGGATCGCTGTTATACATGTACTACCTAAACAATTACTGAAATAGTATACCTAAAACTTTCTCCTATCACATGTTTGTTCTCTACATCTAATGTTACTATTTCTATTAAATTGATCATGCCTGTAAACTGGCGTGAAATCTGTAATTATTATTTTCAGAATATATAAATTATTATTATTAATCCGTTGGATGATTAATATGAAATGCTGGTTATTGAAAGTTTTAATTTTACTGTTGGCGTGACAGAAATACTTTTTAAAAAAAACAAATGTCTTTACATTGTTTACAAAACCCACCCTTTCTGTTGGAGATGCAGATTGATAAGAGCTAACACTTCCACTGGATACATGAGGTAATGACTGTTGGACAGTATCCTTAGTCACGTTACCGGATAAATTTTCAGCAGTATTCAAATGATCATCAGAGAAAGTATCACCAGTTGAATAGGCGAAACCAATATCATCTAATCCATCATAAGCCATATTGATATCCATAACCTGACATAAATAAAACAGATGAACATGCGTATGAAAAACAAGAAAATGAACTTACGAGGTGTTCATCTCTATGTGACAAAGAGTTTAAAATTGAAATTGTAAAAAATAGACTAGTAAAATAAAAGGGTACAATATATTCACTGAACGGAAAGTTGAAATCATATTTTTATTATCGAAATGATATAAAACGTAAAGAAAAAAGCAGTGAACACGATGTCATTGAAGCTTTGTACAAACGTATTTATTATTACGTGATAAATGTTAGTGTAAAGATAAGTAAAGCATCACTAAAAATGGCCAGAAGATTCCAATTATAAAACAAAGGTTATGTAATCGTTAGTGAGATGGAGAAGTGTGTGAAGGGTAGTTATTTACTTGATAAATACAAAGAAAACGGATGAGTGGACAGACGGCAATAAATGTATATAAAAAATCACAACAAAATCGGGATTATAAAAAATTATTGACTGGGCAAGTTGCCTTCGAATTGATGATTGATTCAAGAAGGAGATAATAATGTTGAGACTTATGTAAAAAAGTGAAAACAAATTGTCCTACTTCTTATCAGAACAGTCATTAAATCCAGTGAAATCGAATAGTTACTGGAAAAAATCAAGTGACTTGACAAAAACATGACAAATTAAAATTTTAACGTTGAAAAAATACACCACTTAAACGACACTTTTACGTCAATTATATTTATAGGTACGCAAAGAACCAATAAATGTATTAGTATATAATCCATTAGTACATGTAGAAACTAACTAGGATTTTCATTTGTTATGCTTTAAGAGAAATTAAAGTCATTTGGCTACATGTATGTTCCAAAATTTATCGAAAATAACTCTCATTTATGTAGTTCATGTGATTCTTTTCCTAGGGACGATAACGACTAATATTTTTCCTTCGTGTAGGTTGAAAAAATGAAACGATTAAATAAGTACACACTAATACATAGATTGAAAACGAATGGATATTTTAGAGATGCACTGGTATTGGTGGAGTTTTGTTCTCTGAGCTGGATGGTTTGGTCGTGCATGAAGAAAATATAGTTGTTCTCGAGTGGAAGCCTGCCTTTTGGCGAAATTCTCCCATTTTCGAACAACGAGAAGCGTATTACGCTTATATGATTTTGAGATGGTGGAGAAGATTTGTAGCTCAGGTGGATGATTATGGTGGAGTTTTGTTCTCTGAGCTGGATGGTTTGGTCACGACCAAAATCATATGAGCCTAATGCACTAGTATGATTAAAATTTTTTCAGAGAAGACCCTATGACTAATTCAATCTAATTAAAATGTCTTAGTGTTCGGATTACAAGCCAACTTCGATACACGATATTCATAACGCTGAATAAGATTCTACAGTAATCTGAACCGTTGTGCATAACTCTGTTGACATCAATAATAATAATAAACCAATATTACTCCACACCAGTTTTTCGTGAAAATTAGTAAGTTTCCAAGGAATACTTAAATGAATACTCTTCATAAATTTAAAGCTAAAGAAGCAGCAGCTATGAATTTGAGGTGTATAATAATTTTTAGATGATATAAAAGAGAAATAATGTACTCATTGATGATTAATATCTCTTTTGATGGATATTAACTGATGAAAGTAAAAGTTGTAAAATCTATAACGCTTTTGTTATCTGTTAAGATAGAACTGCACAAAACTAAACATTCATGTCTATCATATGCTTTTAAGTTTTGTTAAACAGTTCTAACGCAATTTAAAACAAATGAGTTTGCTTTAAACTGTACAGTGAGATCATGTGATAAGAATTTCAAATTCACCAGGGTATCGACATATTCTTATAATGCTTAAACATCTATAAAAATATGCATATTCACTCAGCCCACTTTTGTCTAACTTCCATTTTTCCTTATCAAATGAGTAAATCATGCGTGAAACAATGGTTTTTCATTTCACATTTAATCACATGAAGATTCTTATGGCATTAGATAATATTTCTATTATTTTATATAACATAAAACGTTGAGGTGTGTTTATGTACTAATATTTTATATCACAGACAGGAGAATAAGGATAAATATATTATTTAAAGAAAAACATAATTCCCATACAGTAAAAAATTTAAAAACACAAATTATCAGATTACGTATATTTTGTCATGTTAGCTGAATATAGACTACAAAACATCCTGAAGTCTAGATTGTATTTATAATTCATAAACCCAACTAAACAAGAAGAGGTGTATGATATAAAAACGAAATTTCAAACGAATTATAAACACTACAGTACACATATGGAGTGGTTAAATTATTTGATTCGATACTGTTAAACTAATTTTGTGATAATGAACAATATCAATTCCACGGCCTAAACATAACTCAGTAGCGTACAAAAAGGCATATGGACTGCACCGGAGCACACTACACAGAACCATCAATAAAAAGTTCAGAAAGACGACGGAGGAACAAGACAGGAGCTGATATAGCCTCAAATCATCACTTGCTGGTCGCCAAGATGGTATTGAAACTGAAAACAGGGCGGATAACATCACAAAAGTTAATTACGGCCTTTCATTGAGATACTGACAGACTCAACGAATTCAAGAGAGCCCTCAGCAATAGGTTCCAGGCCTTTCACGATATACTCAATGTAGAAGGAACGACTATGGAGAACAACTGAAAGGGGATCAAGGAGGCAATCGCTGCAATATATCATGAGATCTGGGCCACAAGAAGCATCATCAGAAGGGATGGGTCACAATTGATACACTAGATAAGATTAAAGAAAGGAGTAACAAGCAGGGAACAATGAATATCAGCCGAACAAGAGCACATAAATAAAAGGCACAAGCTAAATACAAGTTAGCAAACAAGTGAAGAAGAGCACCAGAACAGACAAACATAAATATGTGGAAGAAGAAAAACGAGACAAATGTATGATACAACTAAGAAACTCGCAGAAAATTATCGTAAACCAGAAAGAATAGTAAAAAGCAAGGGAAGCAAAGTAATCACTAACACTGAAGAACAACGAAACAGGTGGGTAGAACATTTTAAAGAACTTTTGGATCCACCAGCCATGATGAATTCACCCGACATTGAAGCAGTACCCACGGAACTGCCGATCGATGTTGGGCCATCAACAATTGAAGAGATCACCATGGCCATTAGACAAATCAAATTAAGGTTGTTAAATAAGAACGTTTAGTACTATTTTACAGCTACTTATGAGTAACACGAAAAATGTTGATCAAAATGTCATCAGTGTAGGGACTTGTGGAGATTGTATAATTTTCACAGTTGAATTCACGAGTCTAAGCTAAACCGCCATTGAAAACCTGGAAGCACTGGACAGCCGATTCGTCCAAGTATGGAACTCTTTAGCAGTGCGCATCCATGATCCTGCATGCAGGACTCGAACCTAGGAACACTGGTTTCGCACGAGCACGCTTAATCCACCTCAGATAATGGATGAAGTGTTGTGCGACATCACGGATAGATCGGAGTCAGAAATCAACATCATTGAATGCCGAATCAGTGGTCTAGAGGTTATACGTCTAGGCACGAAACCGATACACCTGGGTTACACTCTCGCGTGCAGGACCGCACACTGTTGAGCAGTCTCATTCCAGGACGAAACGGCCGTCCAGGGCTTTCAGACTAAACATGATCTACAAATTATAATGACTGATTACTGTGCGATTAACAACTTACAGTAAACAATAGATAAGAAAAGAATCGATCACAATGACGTAGGTGTATATACTCTTGGTCTTCCCTTAAACTATGAGAATAAAGTCGCTGCACATCTTTCATTCTACGAACTAATTCTTTCTTCCTGTACTATATCCTTATATGCAATCTTTCTATTATATATAACCACCACTGAATCAACTACTTCTATGAATTTGGTGTTCATCTTGTTGTGTTAATGAAGTATGACAATTTGGACCGATGCATATATGTCCCTGGTCCTACGTTGTAGCTAACTGAGATAAGAAAAGAAAATTACGTCTGCCATGAGTGTTGTGTGCAGTGCACTCAAATACGTGAACGAAAACCACTGAGAAAAAAAGAAATAGTAGATAAAACGACAGCAAGATAAAAACCATGAATGAAAGTAGGTAAAACAATGAATTGCTTTATATTTTAAGATAACGATAAATTTGATCGTAAGCAAAAAAAGGTGTTGAAAAAAGTAATAAAACTATGAAAAAAATCCCAATAGAGCCACTTGAATTTATCTAATGATAAAGCTTAAAAATTATTAGGATTATATTTTGTATGAAACTTTTACGAACACATAGTGAAGTAAATGAATTTTCATGTTAAAACAATCAGATATTGTTAAAAATGAATAGATAATGGAGAGAAACATATCACGAAACTAATTAATGGTCTGACTTTAAAATAATATATATTTTCCAAACGTTAGTAAATTATTTTGACTACGAAACATCCACAATTAATAATAGACCTTAAATTACAACATCATCAATTTATCACATACACCGAATAGTTCATTTCAAAATTCAAAATTTTGATAAAACTGAATTTAAGACGGCCAAATTTTGTAGATTAGGAAGATGATTTTGGTAGAGTTGTATTAACACAACTGAATGGTTTATTCGTGTTAGATCCTGATGGTTTGAATGTTCTCAATCTGATCTTAAATCTATATAAGAGATTTAATAAAATGATCGAATAATTCACTCGATGATTCAATGATCTTTAAATTCCTCTTGACAGATTTTATATAGGGATTTCAGACAGGGAGACAACTGGGAGTAGTGAGAGGTCTCGTTTCTGTAGTTTTGGGATCGCGCAATTACACCATTCAGCTCCGAGAACGAATTTTCACAAAAAAAATTCAAGTCATAAATCGCTAAAGAATTAAAAGTGATTAATGACATTAGGGAATTAATAACAAAGTGAATTGAAAATCAATTTTAAAAAAAATTATCAGAAAAGAACAGTATTTTCTTTTTTCCTCAGACAAACCATGAAAAACAAACAGCAAAAAAAAG